ACAAATAAAACAATATAAATTGTAAACATAAGCAACACGGTTATAGCCATAAGTGGGGATAGGTAATAAGAAGGATGAGTATAATAATAGTAATACAGTTTTATTAAGTAGTTTGACAGTGTTGTGGGAATTAGTTGTTTAGCAGAGTGAAGGCATTCGGGGCAAAACTGTCCTTGTGTCTAGTTGTTCTGGTATGCAGTGCCCTATAGTGTGGTTTTGAGGGTAGAAGTTGAAACAATTTATGTCCAGGATGTGAGGGGTCTGTAGATATTTTTACAGCCCTTTTTGACTTGTGCAGTATACAGATCCTCAATGGAAGGCAGGTTGGTAGCAATTGTTTTTTCTGCAGTTTTAATTATCGGTTGAAGTCTGTGTCTGTCTTGTTTGGTTGCAGAGCCAAACCAGACAGTTATAGAGGTGCAGATGACAGACTCAATAATTCCTCTGTAGAACAAGCCACAGTCATCCACATCTTCAAAAAGGGAAACCCCAGCCTAGCTGAAAATTACAGACCAATCTCCTTATGCTACGTCACCTGTAAAGTCATGGAATCAATTATTAACAAATCCATTATCCTCCACTTAGAGACAAACAACCTACTCCCTAATAAACAATTTGGTTTCAGAAAAAAACTATTCTGTAATCTGCAACTCTTACACTGCAAAAACATATGGATTACACAACTCAATCAGGGCAAAGCAATAGACACGATTTACATAGACTTTTGTAAAGCCTTTGATTCAGTGGGACACAACAAACTACTAAAACTAAAATCATATGGATAAGCGCACCAACGTGCCTACCGTCCCTGTCCTATTGTTTCTTTTATTTTTCTTATATGTACCCATTTCATGTATTCATAACTATGTTTTTACTTATACCTATTATCTTATAAGCGATTGACAAATCAAAATAAATAAATAAATAAATAAATAAAAATAAAATTGAATCAGCAGTTCTTTGGACAGTTTGATCTTTCTGAGTTGGCGCAAAAAGAACATTCTTTGTTGTGCTTTATTGATGACGTTTTTGATGTTAGATGCCCATTTTAAGTCTTGAGATATGATAGAATCTAGACATTTGAAGGTCTCTACTGTTGTTTGAAGGTCTCTACTGTGTTGTTTAGTATTGTAAGAGGTGGTTGTATAGGAGGGTTTCTCCTAAAATCTACCACAATTTCTATAGTTTTAAGTGTATTTAGTTTAAGATTGTTCTGGTTGCACCATAAGGCTAGTTGTTCAATCTCCTGTCTGTGTGCAGATTCATCGCTGTCTCAAATGAGACCAATCACTGTTGTATCATCTGCAAACTTCAGTATGTTAACAGAGAGCTCTTTTGAGATGCAATCATTGGTATATAGTGAGAAGTGGAGAGAGCACACAGCCTTGGGGGCCCCCTGTGCTAAGTGTAAAGGTATCTAATGTGATTTTGCCTAGCCTCACCTGCAGCTTCCTGTCAGGAAGCTTATGATCCATTTACAAGTGTGATTAGGTACAGCTAGTTGATTTAGTTTTGTTAGAAAAATATCTGGAATGATGGCATTGAATGCTGAGCTGAAGTCTACAAAGAGGACCCTTGCATAGGTCTTTGGAGATTCAAGATAGCTCTGGCTTGTGGAGCGGGGGGAGTACTTCATTGAAAAACTTAAAACATTTAAAGCAGGGATAAATATTTGCCACTTTTGTTTTTCTAACATTTGCTCCCTCTGCCATAAAGAGTTAAGCTGCCAAATTGGCAAAGCTATCTGCCTTCTGTTTATTTTTTGTTGAAAGATTGATGTGCCATTTTTTACTTATATTTTTTTCTACAGTGCAGCTTAAGTCAAGTGGATGAACAACCTAATTTATTTATTTATTGAATTTATATTGCCACCTATTTGCTCATTGGGACTCGAGGCAGCTTACAGAATGTAAAACCATATTTAAAATGAAAACCAATAAAAACTAACACAAAGAATCAAATAAATTAATAACGTACAATAGAATAAAATCTGGGACAAAATAAATAAAAAGCACCCCCCAACTCCCACGCCACCCCCACTCCGATGACAGCAGATCACACAAGCCATTTGATGGGCTCCATCCTGCTCTGGGTTCCCCAGGCCCGCTGGCAGAGACAGGTCTTCAGTGCCTTCCAGAAGAAAGAGGGGGGCATTCTAATCTCTGGGGTAATGATGTTCCACAGAGAGGAAGCCACCACGGAGAAGGCCCTTCTTCTGGGTTCTACCAGGTGTATCTCCCTCAGGGTTAGGGTTAGGGTTAGACTCCCTGCTCTAATGGGTTGGATAAATATGACTGGCAAGAGACGTTCCCTCAGATAATCTGCTCCCAAGCCATGAAGAGCTTTAAAGGTGACAACCAGAACCTTGAATTGCACCTGGAAGCAAATCGGCAACCAATGCAGGTCTCGCAGGAGATGTGAAACAGGTGTATACCGCGATCTGCACAAAACCATGTAGACCACTGCATTTTGCACCAACTGGAGCTTCCGGGTGTTCTTCAAGGGCACCCCGTGTAAAACGTGTTGCAATAATCAAGACGGGAAATGACTAGGACATGAGTGACTGAGTAGGGACCGTTGGTCCAGGAAAGGGCATAACTGGTGCACAACCTGCAGTTGCGCGAAGGCCATCCTGGCCACGACTGCCACCTGCTCTTCGAGTAGGAGTCATGAATCCAGGAAAACCACTAGATTATGCACAGGTTGTTTGGGGTAGTGCCACACCATCCAAGACCAAAGGTGGCAATTCTCCCTGAGCCAACGAACTCCAGACCCAGAACCACTTGGTCTTGCAAGGGTTTAGTTTCAACCCGTTGCTCCCCATCCAGCCCCTAACAGCCTCCAGGTATTACGAGAGGGAGGACACAGCAACACTTAACTCACCACATGCCAAGACATACAGCTGGGTATCATCAGCATATTGGTGATACCTCAGTCCATGGTGATGATCTCACCCAGCGGTTTCATATAAATGTTGAACAGAAGCGGTGAGAGTACCGAACCTTGTGGAATCCCATAAAGCAGTGGGCGAGGGCTGGATCTCTCCTCTATCAAAACTGACTGAGAGCAGTCACTGAGGAAGTGAACCAGGACAGTACAAGGCCTCCTACTCCCATTCCCCCAAAGCCGCCCCAGGAGAATCCCATAGTCAGTGGTATTGAAAGCCGCTGAGAGATCAATTAGAGCAAGGATGGATGCACTACCCCCATCCTGCTCCCATCAGAGACCATCCAAGTGTGACCAATGCCATTTCTGCCCAAATCCACGCCTGAATCCCGACTGGTAGGAGTTGAGATAATCCGTTTCATCCAGAAACCTCTGGAACTGCTGCACAACCACCTTCTCAACAACTTTCCCCCAAAAGAGAAGATTGGAGACAGGTTGGAAATTATTCAACTGGGTGGAGTCGAGATGGCTTCTTAAAAAGACAGTGGACCACAGCCTCCTTAAAGTGCTGGAGCACTGTCCCCGCCCCTCGTAGGGAAGCATTAATCACCCCCAGAGCCCACCCACCTGTCACTTCCTGGGAAGCTTTCACAAGCCAGGAGGGACATGGGTCTAAATAAAACACAGGTGTTTATGGGCATATTCCCTAGGATCCTGTCCACTTCCTCAGGAGCAACAGGGTCAAACTGTTCCCAGAAAACAGGGCAAGAACCTGCCTCAGGAGCTTCCACCAGACCAGCAACCACACCGGCATCTAACTGGGAATGAAGTAGAGCAATTTTGTCTTCCAGAAAATTTCAGTGCGCCCCTTCAGGTGGACCTCAATCTCCTCCTTCCCCAGGAGACAGCTCACCTTAAAGAGGGTCACTGGGCGATTATCTGCAGACACAATTAGTGTAGAAAAGTATTTACACTTTGCCGCATGAATCGCCCTGAGGTAGGCCTTAATAGCTCTTACCTGTGTTTGATCGAGTTCATCCCATCTTCCGTTAGCGGCACTCTAGACGTCTCTTTATGTGTCTAATACCTAATACCACATAATGAGTCACAGAATTTGAATCCTGATCATAACTTGACACCTCCCCCTTGTTAATAAGAACTTTGTTAATATTTTATTAGTAATAATTTGTGCCACTGCATGAAGACGTGTATGGCTACATAGCCACATATACTGCTAAATTTACTTCTCAAGTAAATTCTCAAGTACACTGTTTGGAAGGGAGCAAGGCATACAAAAAAAAATCCACATTGCAGCATCTTTACAGCATTTATTACAGCATGGCCATTGTGGGTTTGCAGAGTGGATATCAACTTTTATAGACTTGATGGACTCTACCTATTTCTTTCCAGGACAGCTGTGCAACTTAAGATGCTATTCCCTATATAGCGCTCTTCTTCGCAGAAAACTTGTGAACAGATCGTTTTCCTGAGAAGGAAAGGCAGATCTCAACTGATGAAAAGAGGAGCCCAATCCTTTTCTCATCGGGCGCCCGGTGCTAACTTCTGGGCGTGCCAGCATGCAGGAAAGCCCCGGGGGACAGACTGGACTCTCAGTTACGTCTAGGTTGTTATTAGGTGGCCTTAGCCAACCAGGCGCTTTCCAATTTGGCTGGGAACTGTGTCCACCGAACCCTTTTGTAGAAAATTTTGTAGAAAATTGGATTTCTTATAGTCAGATTCACACAGTGGTATCGGACGAGATCCCGGGAGACGGTGAGTTCTGCTTCCGCCTGAGGGACAAAGCGAGCTGGGTGACCTTGGGCCAGTCCCCCACCGCTTCCCCGGTGCTTGGAACCAAGAAAGAGCAAGCCATTCCCGAAACCTTGCCAAGAAAACTGCAGGGACTTGTCCAAACAAATAACGACAGATCTGCTGTAGGCCTCCCCTTGTCCTTTTCCATGGCGGAAAAGTAACAAATGAAGCGCGGCTGTTGGTCGCGCTTGGGTACCACCTCCCCACCATAAGTGACGAAGGCACGAAGGGTTGTTTTTTATTTCCGGGAGGGGAGCCTTCACAGTAAGCTCGCGCGTCATTTCTGCTTCTCGCGAGAGGTTGAGGGGGAGGAGCCTGAAGATACAACTGCCTCAAACCACCCCCTCTGTCCTCCTCGCGTCGCTGGTAAAGCTCGTGCTCCTTGGACGTTCCTTTCCTGCCTTAAAAGTCGGTGAGGCTCGAGACGGAGTCGGGAGGCGGGTGTGGGGGGCGTTCGGAACGCGCGCCTGGATAGTAACGGCCGCGCTGGTCGGCCCTCTTTCCTCCCCCCTCCCCTACGTCCTCTGGCGCGGCCTGGCCTGACCTGTCGGGTAACAAAGCGGCGGCCTCTGTTGGTTGGTGACGTCGCCGCTGCCGCCGTCGCGGGAGAGAAAAAGAGAGGGAGAGAGAGACCTGAGGCGGCGGCGGCGGCAGCGGTGGTGGCCGGGAGGAACAAGCGGGACTCTAGCCTAGCCGTGGCGGTGCTTGTGAGAGACATCCGCCCTTCCCTCGGCCATCGCTTCCACCTCCTGCAGTAGCGGCCGCCTCCGCCCGGAGGGCTCGGTGGGTAGAACGAAGAGAAGGAAAAGAACGAGGAGGCGCTGTGAGAGATGAAAGGAGGACGGGGGGGGGGAAGGGTGCTTCCCCCCCCACCCCTTTCTATCCTAGACAGCTACGTTCGGTAGAAAAGGAAAAGAAGAAGCGTCACACCATGTTCCCGGGCTGCTCTTCTGTGGAGCGGGCTGTAACGTAGTGAGAAGGAAGGTTGCCAGGGATCCCGAGGCTCCCTGGGCGTACCTGGAGGAGGAGCCTGGTAGTAACTTGATCAGCGAAGGCGAGAAATATAAATATTTGTCTCTCCTTTGACCCGATGATTATTAACCGTTTTTCCCCCTGGGTGTATATATGAGAGATGGCCCTCTAAGTAGGGTTTTGAGGATCGTGCTTTTTAGGATTACATTTTTTCTTTAATAATAGACTAAAAAGAGACAAGGAAAAATAAATACTGTATTTAATATTTCCCCCAAGAGTTCAGAATGGGCCTTGTAAGAAATGGCTTTGTTTCCCAAACTCTTTACTGGAGGCTCAGTAAACTAGGATAAAGTATTCAAATGGACACAGCACACGCTCCTGCACACAGACATTTAATACCCATTTATAGGGGGAAAATAGGAATGTTTTTTCCATTTTTGGGGAAATCATTCTAGTTCTGCACTGTTCTACTATTGTTTTGCTTTCTCAAGACTACCAAGAAGTATCCCTACTTCGGGATGTAACATTATTCCAATTTTAAGGAGAAATACAATACCTATTGGTTCCACAGGCCACATCCTGTGGAACCAACATTGCCAGGAACAGTGGAAATGGGGCAGATAATTTCACTACCCTTTTTGCTCTCCTTTTCCCATCCTTGTCTAAGGAATCTTAATTTATTATTTTAATTCCACCCTAGCTTGTGGAACTCTGAAGAAATATTGTTTCTTTTTTCTTTTTGCCTGCATGTGATTATTATCTTCTCTCACTGTTTTTGTACTACTTATTAATGTTCTATATTTAGTGTATTATAGTTGTGTATTTACATTAATGTAAATTGAGTGGAGGCTCCCTTTTTGCTTGTTAGAAAGATAGACTTTTAACAGGATATTATGTGTTGCAGTCTTTCCTTATTAGCTACCTTTTATATATATTTAGTTTTCCAGAATTTATATTGAGATTATAGTCCTAATATACATGAATGGAACTAGTTTCTGAAAGACTGTTGTAGGTTATTATTAACTTTGCCTTACTATTACTGGTTTAGTGTAAATATTGACAATCCAGCTTGTTCTTATGTTGATACAGAGCACTGGTAAAATCAGAAAGACAGAACTTATTTTTTTTTAAAAGCAAAACTTATCCCTTAATTAATTTTGAGGCTTTCAGTAAGGAGATTTGTTCTGGCTTCAATCAATGAAATTTGTTTAATTACTGGTTCACTGGATTTGAATTTCCAGTATGATTTCAATTGTGATTTTGAGAGTTCCTGCAATTATGTCACAGCTTTGAAATTGGGACAGCTGTAGGTAGAAGTAGTCTGAAAAGAGAGAAGGGAATGTCATGGAAAGTATATTCCTGAGGGATACAGTTTGATTCATCCATCAAGTTGAGTCATCAAAGATGTTTTGGACTTCCCCATTCCCCTTTCACTGCCTGTCAGCCTTAAACAGCAATTTACATATTATTATTATTCCCTGCTTTCTGCTTTAATCTAAAAATATATAGAAGGAAAATAGGATTTACAGGCAAAATGGCAGCAAGGGAACTTGTTTCAAAATTGCTATAATATTTAATCGGAGATACAGATAATCCCATAATCTAGTGAGCAAATGCTCCTACTAGTCTTCACAAGAAAAATAACAACTTTTGCCTGTTGCAATTACGCAAGTCATAGTATTTGTGTGAACCAGACAGGTTTTCACCATTCTGTCCCCATAGTGATGATAGAGCCCCCTTCACTAGTTACAGCAACAGTAACAGAAGGCAATAGTGCCTGGTTTCTGTTTGTTCCTATTCCTACTTATAACACTTACAATAATAGAATTAATTAGAACAGACTGAACTAGAACAGTTTATAATAGAGAAGTGAATTTTAAAACATCTTCCTATGTGATGACTCAGTGAAGGAGTCTTGAGGAAGCTGTCTTAAGACAGGGCAGTTAAAAAGTATACTTGGTACTTGCACTATCCAATCTCACAATAGAAAAGATACAGCTGCTCTGAACTATGCTACAAGTAAGCCTTCCAAGACAAGATACAAACTGACTATCAAGGTATCTTTACAGACTCTTCTTAATCAGAAGTCTACCAATGCAAAGAATGCCTTTTAATTCCTGCTGTGAACATTGCAGTTCTCCAGAAAAATAACATTATAAAGAAAAACAGTTGCTTTTCCCCCCTCAGTTGTAGTAGGAATTTGATCTTCCTAATGGTCTCTTTAAATGCAATAGGAATTAACTTGAGATAAGATTACATGTGATTGTTCTTAATTGTTATGCAATAATAAACTTGCCACCTTGGTAACTACGTATTCTATAAATCACTATTTTGTAGTTAACAAAACTTGTTTCTGGTTAACGTTCCAGATTTAAATATAAATATGTGGTTTAAGACTCATTTTTAGTGGCATTGTAGACATGGCAGTTTTGGGAATGGGAAAAACCTGTGTACTCTGATGTGTTTAGCTAGTAAATGTGTTGACAAAAATATTTCTAAATCCTTAAGGATTACTTTCTTAACCAATATATCTTCAATTTGTTGCTTATCACAGGGTGTCTTTTATGAATAATCAAAAGCAGCAAAAGCCAACGCTATCAGGCCAGCGTTTTAAAACTAGGAAAAGAGGTAAGCATAATCATATGCCTGTGTAATCAATTTATTTTTATCAATTAGAAATTACCACATCCCTGTAAAGATTGATTTGTAATATGTACTTTTGATGGTTTTATTAATGAATCTTATTCAAGACCTGTTGAAAACATGTTTACATAGCAATAAACATAGAATCAACATCTCTGATTTTTTTCCTTATTACTAACTATTGAAATGATTATTAATATAGTCCATCTAAAATCTAAAAGTTCATGAATCAGGTCCTGAATCCTATTCCTAGTCACTGATTTTTTAATCAGTCTGACAATTATATTTCCTGTATTAAATTCACACAAGACTGTTGAGTTAATGGAATCTGTATTTGGGGAAATGTGCATTTTTACTTCTTCAAAAAGGTTGATTGGGCAGTCTGAAGGAAGGTTTAACTAGGGTCATACTATATTTTTTCATTTTATGCTGCAGGTACAGATAGTCCTTGACTTATGACCACAATGGAGCCCCAAATTTCTGTTGCTATGCAAGGCAGTTAAATGTTGCACTCCATTTTATGACCTTTTTTTGCCACAGATAAGTGAATCATTGCAGTTGTTAAGTGAATTATGCAGTTGTTAAGCAAATTCAGCTTCCTCCATGGACTTTGCTTGTTGGAAGCTGGCTGGGAAGGTCACAAATGGTGATCACATGAGCCACAGTGCAACTCTCATAAACAGATGTCAGTTGCCAAGTGCCTGAGTTTGCATCACGTGACCATAGGACTGCTGCAACAATTGTTAAGTGCGAAAACTGGTCATAAATCACTTTTTTCAGCACTTTTCATACTTTGGTTACTAAACAAATGGTTGTAAGTTGAGAACTAACTAGTAATAAAGCATACAATACTTAATTTTTATTAATTTTATATATGAAACTGCTATGTGAGAGAGATTGGGCTCTAGAACCAGAGAACAATCCTGATTTTTATCATATTTTTAAAAAATACGGACCTTCCTGTTGAGGTAATTCCCCATTAGGAGAATGAGCGCATACAGGGAGACGTATAGAGAGTAATGTTGGAATAATACACACAGAGCACACAGATACACTGTACAGTAAATGTAGGTTTTTACTTCCAGAAAGGTTTAAGCAAAGTTCAAGATAAGCAGTCCAAAAGTCATTCACAGGTAAATCAGTCAGTTTTTCAATCCAGGGATACTCCAAATATCAAAGTCCAGTGTGAAAAAACAGTTCAGTATCAGACTTACATTAAATCCAGAAATAGCAGTTTCTTCTAATTAGAAGAAATGGAGCAATTGCAATACTTTCCAGCAGAAGGAAACAAAGATACTCAGACACACACTCTTCTGAGACAGACTAAACAACCCAGGTTTCTGGCTCCATCTTATGGCTGTTTGAGAAACCACACCCAATTGCATGCTCTTGCATTCCCTTAAAGATATAGTACTAAAATGTTTATCCTGGTTTATATATTTCTAACCCAAATACCTGTTAGGTGACTTATATTTCTAACACTTCCTTTACATGATATTATGTTTATAAAAGAAAACTGTATTGCCTTAGTGCCTGTCAGCAGAATTTGAGGAGAAATTTAATGTAAACCATTTCTGGTTTTGTTTTCATTTTTCTTTAGATTACTTAGATTTGAATTTACAAATGTAACAATGATATTTTAAAAGGTGTTTCTCTTTAGTAATATATTTTGGGCACATTATCTGAGACTAACCCCCAGTGAATTCAACAGAGGGTACTTTGACTATGTATTACTCTGAATCAATGTATTTAGCAACTGAAATGTTTGCATAGAACTTTAAACTCTTTGCCTAACATGTTTGAATTTAATGGGATCCTGACTTTCCTTTTGGCTGATCTGATTCTCAGCATGAAATCAATAACTCCAATTACCCTGATTTTCTTTTCAGATACATTTACAGTATTACTTTTTATTGCAGATGAAAAAGAGAGGTTTGACCCCACTCAGTTTCAGGACTGTATTATTCAAGGTTTAAATGAAACTGGCAGTGATTTGGAAGCAGTAGCAAAATTCCTTGATGCTTCTGGAGCAAAACTTGATTATCGCCGCTATGCAGAGACACTCTTTGATATTCTGGTGGCTGGTGGAATGCTGGGCAAGTATCTTTATTTTGTTCAAAATTTTTATTAATTTAACAAATCATAAAATACAAAAACACAAAGAAAGATGAAGATAAAATAGGGGAGGAAAGTGGGAAGAGAAAAGTGTAGGGTAGAGGGAAAAAAGAAAAAAAAACAAATTTCTTTATTGACTGGTCAATTTATGATCACATGGATCCACTATGAAATTCTAATTTGTTTTTCAGAATTGCTTTTACACATATAAAATTTGAAAGTGATCTGGGTGTAATATGGATTGTTTTAAATTTTGACTGTTTCAACAATACCTTGTAGACCAAAACAATTTCTATTAAGTTTTTCTTATAATTAAAATAATCAATTTTTAACAGCCCCAGGTGGTACCTTGGCAGATGACATGATGCACACAGATGTCTGTGTATTTGCTGCACAAGAAGACCTAGAAACAATGCAAGCATTTGCTCAGGTTTGTGTGTTTTATTATTTTCTTGATTCTATCTTTCTATAGTATGATACATCAGTATAGTAAAACTATATAAACGACTTACTGGAATTGAGCATTTTATTTCTTAATCCTGATCATTTTCAATTATTTTATTCTGCTTTTATTATTTTTATAAATAACTATTATAATTAACTCAAGGCAATGAACACACTGCTTTCTTCTCCTATTTTCCCCACCAGAACAACCCTGTGAGGTGTGTTTAGCTGAGAGAATGACTAGCTCAAAGTCACACAGCCAACTTTCAAGGCAGAATTAGAATTCTCACTCTCCTGATTTCTAACCTGTTGCTTTAACCACCTCACCAAACTTGCTTTGTATCTATTTTATAGGTCTTTAACAAGCTGATCAGGCGATACAAATACCTGGAAAAAGGCTTTGAGGATGAAGTTAAAAAGGTACTCTGTGAAAACTAGATTTTTACCTTATCTTGCCAAAAATAATGGATTTTATTATGTAGTACTAGACTTGTCTGCTTCTGCAGGTCATTTGCTAGCTGGGGGAAAAGGGGAGAAAACTTTCATTCACTGTATAACAATTTTACTGCATGCGTACACATTGAGAGAAAGTAATTACAAATGTCTTTTGAGCAGTGTGATGTGAAAAATTGATCGTTTTTGATGACTCACATAAAATCCTTTTAATATTGTAGTATGGCTTCAGTATCTCATTTGTTTCAAAATGTTTGTTACTGTATTTCCTCTTGCAGTTGCTGCTCTTCTTGAAAGGTTTTTCAGAGTCTGAGCGGAACAAACTGGCCATGCTAACGGGTATACTTCTGGCCAATGGGACACTTAATGCATCAATTCTCAACAGCCTGTATAATGAGAATCTTGTTAAAGAAGGTAATTAGAGAAATCTTGCCTTTGATGCAGTTTCTTCCTTGTTGTTCACATGCTATTTTCATAGTACAGTTAGTCCTTTGTCTTATTACGAGTTGCTTAGCTACCATTTGAGGTTCCAGTAGACCCCTCAAAAGTATTTATGACTGGTTCTGATGGATTATCCCCCCCGCTAAAATGACTAGGATTCAGCAACTGGCCCACATTTATGGCCATTTTGCTGTGTCTCGTTCATATAACCAAATTTGTGACGTTTTTGTGGGAAATCAGCATTTATTTCCAGTTTTTGAAAAATCTCCATAGCAAACAATGGACTTACTTTCTCAAGTACGGATTCACTTAAGGTGATTTGCTTAGTGACTATCAGAAAAAAAAGGTAAAATTGAGCCGATCACATGATGACCTGCTTTACTTCCATCATAGCTTATGATCATAATGGGCAGCCTTTATTATAGACACATGACTGTGTGTTCATAGATATTGTGTATTCAGTTTAAAACTAAAGTTGCTTCTAAAGTTTAAACATAAGCTACTGTTACATGACAAGAACAAAATAAAAATAAATAGCATTTGAGGCCAAGGAGCATTGTGTTTGTTTTGTCACCATAGAAATTTGTCAAGTTTCATTGTGATACATAGTATTATGCAATTGTTGAACCCCTCTCTGAGGGAGGTGGGCAATTCAGAAATATGAAAAATAAATAAATTATACTTCTTTAAGATCTTCAGCTCCTGCAGGCAGTATGTCTTTCAGTAATAGGGTAGCAAAAACTGTTGAAAAATATTGCTCAGTATAATCCTGATGTTAATGTTATTGAGACTCACTTTGACATTTTCCTCTTGGAAAGTCTATTGTAAGTTACAGTGTATGAAGAGGGAGGTTACATGATCTAGATGTATTATTGTCTGGATAAAAAACTTGGAAAGCCTCTATAAGGAGAGGGTCATATCCATTCCCACTGTGAAGTCTTAAAAAGTAATTGTGCGCTTTTCTCTGCAGGTGTTTCAGCAGCCTTTGCAGTAAAATTGTTCAAATCATGGATAAATGAAAAAGATATCAATGCAGTTGCTGCTAGCCTTCGTAAAGTCAATATGGATAATAGGCTGATGGTAAGTGAATAGTTTTATAGTCAAAGTGAAACATCTGTTGCTTAAGCAGAGAGTAGAGTATTGGTGCATAGCAAGAACATAATTTTTAGCGTGTAGGGATTCCCTTTCCACTACTCAGTGACTGTTCTGCACAGAGATGCCTGAAGCACATCTAATAGTTGAATTAACTATTGCACTGGTGGCTAATCATTTTGGGCTCCTGTGCCGATAATTGCACACGCACTTGTGCACTCACACTTGCGTGCCATCACCCAGAAGGCAATGGGGGGGGCATGCCCACACACATGATCCGCATGACCCATGCTGCGCACTTCTGCGCATGCATGTGTGTCTCCTGTGCCCCCCCATGCATGCATGCCAGATACCTGACAATCAGCTGGCGTGCGGTGCATGTGCAGTAGAGCTTTTCTGAGCGAGGGCTCACGTGTTGGCAGTAATGGCTCTGTGTGCCACTTCGGCTCGTGTGCCATAGGTTCGCCACCACGGCACTATTGCATATTTAACTTTTAAAAATCTTCTGAATTTGATATCTTCATTATAATTCACTCTGGTTTGGCATTTTATTTGGTAAATCTTGATTTGAATTCAGTGTTTTAACATAGTATGATCCTCAGGGGAACCTGATAGGAAAATGTATGGTAATAAAAACTAAAATATATGACTCCTCATATTTACCTTCTCAGCAGATAGAAAATGAATGTTACTTTAAGTATTTCCCTGCATCAAACAAGGATGAATCGTTGTGCTAAGCACATCCATGTATAGTTTTTTAATATTTGCAAAAAAACCCATATGTTTCAGGAGCTCTTTCCAGCCAACAAGCAAAGTCTTGAGCATTTTACAAAATACTTCACTGATGCAGGATTGAAGGAACTTTCTGAATATGTTCGGAATCAGCAGTGCATAGGGGCTCGTAAAGAATTACAGAAAGAACTTCAAGAGCAGATGTCACGAGGAGATACCTTTAAGGATGTAAGTATGGTTAGCTGGCAAGCATAGATGAATTCTGTAAGAACTTAATGGAATACCAGAATTATGGAAATAGCCTTTTTAACTGAGTCCTTAATGGTACACGTTAGGTATAATAGGACAATAATGGTTTTGGTAAGTTAAATTCTTAAGATTCATGAATTATCTTATTTAACTTCCTCAGTGTAAAACATTGTGCTTTGTTGAAAAATGCTAAGAAAAACCTAGTCAATGTTGACTGATCTCAACTAACTAAGATGAGACTTGGTTAATCTTTGAACAAAGATCTACTAGAAATTCTTGGGGCTGTTAGTTAGACTGAAAAATTGAACACATATCCTAAAAGAAGGTAATGATGGCAAACTTATTTCAGAAAACTGGATGGATATAGTCAAAGGGATGTGAGAACAGCTCCAGGGGATCTTTTTACATTAGAAGATAACTGTCACTATATTTCTCCTTAAATTTACTTTAGAAATTTAATGAAAGAATAGTTCATCATAAATATTTGTATGCATGTTATGCATAATTGTACAGGTGTCCTTGATTTAACAGCTATTCGTTTAGTGACCGAAGTTAAAACAGTGCTGAAAAAGTGACATGACTGTTTTTCACATTTATGACCGTTGCAGCTTCACCATGATCACATCATCAAAATTCAGGCACTTAGCAACCGGCATGCATTTACAGTTGCAGTGCCCTGGGTCATGTGACCACCATTTGTAACCCTCCTAGTCAGTTCCAACAAAGTCCATGAGGGAAATTAGATTTGTTTAATGACTATATGATTCATTTAACCGCTGCAGTCATTCACTTAACAACTGTGGCAAAAAGGTTGTAAAATGGGATGTAACTCACTTAGCAACTGCCTTGCTTAACGATTAAAAGCAATTTTTTTGTTAACAGTATGTCTCAGCTCTATGGTTGCTGTCCATGTTTTCAGTTTTAACAATTCTTTTATGGAAATGGAGGGAAGTCATTTGACTATGCATGTATTTAAAATTAATGTTCTGAACTTTCTATGTAACATCTAGCAATTATTCCCTACTGTTAACATGCTTTGAGCAGTGCAGAGAAAATTTGTTTCATAAAAAATACTCTTTCAGCCTTGAGTCTGATATTTCAGTGTGATGTTCAATAGCAGTTCAAAATATGTTATAAGTGGTGTTTTTTACATTAAGCATACTACTAAATTTGTATGTTTTTAAATAAAATTGTTATTCTGCCACAAAGTTAAATCTAAATAAAGAATAATGGCAAGCCCACCATTTCAATATTTGTATGGTGAACCAAAGTAGGCTCAAAACATTGTCAGATTTCTGTCCCATTTCCATATTTTCAGCTGGCAGGTCAAAGGGGAAGCTATATCCAGATCCATGAATTATCTTATTTAAGATAAGGGCTTGAGTACATTGGTTAGTGTTCAAGATCTTGTTTGACTTGGATTCTTGCATAGATTTAGTTAGAGTTCCCTTTGAGTTCATTTTATCCAGAGAAATGTCTGGACAAAGCTAATGTGCAAATCCTGATTGCCTAGATCATACCGTATGTCAAGGAAGAAATGAAGAAAAACAACATATCAGAGCAGACTGTAATTGGCATCATCTGGTCTAGTGTAATGAGCACTGTGGAATGGAACAAAAAAGAGGAGCTCGTCGCAGAACAAGCCATCAAGCACTTGAAGGTATAAGTTCGTTTATAGGATTAGCTTTTAAATATCTTTTCAGTCTGTTGCAGGTATCTATCATCCATTTATCTTTCTGAGGATGTTTTGTCTGAGGTTTTCCTGAAGTATTTTTTCCCCCAGAATAATCCTGGTTTTAAAAAGTAGACCTAATGCTATTAAGAAACTACTCCAAAGATTTTAATGTTTCTGGACAATATCATTTTTCTTTATAAGAATTAGAAAAGGCATCTTAAGCAAATGTTTAAATGCAAGTTAGGAAATTATTTATGACAAAACCTCTCTTGTCTTCTCAGCAATACAGCCCTCTTCTTGCTGCCTTTACAACCCAAGGTCAGTCTGAGCTGACTCTGTTGCTAAAGATTCAAGAGTACTGTTACGACAACATCCATTTCATGAAAGCCTTCCCGAAAATAGTGGTGCTCTTCTACAAAGGTAATATATAACAAATCTGTCTCTTTTGAAAGCAGAGGAATTGTCCAATGCTCAAAGAATGCCTGTGTTTTACTCAAAGAATGCCAGGCTACATGCTGATTACAATGCATTTCCCAGCAGAATGGAGATTCCCCCCCCTGTCGTGTCCCCCCCCCAATATGTTTTGAATTAATCCAGAATTCCAGGAAGCAGATCTTCACTCCTAAGGATATTCTGCTGTGGAGAGAAAAAAGAGCACATCTCTTTTATTCCTCCTTTTCCACAAGGTCACAAATCCTTTGGGAGGGGTAGGGGAGCTTCAGAAGAAGAGAATGACACTAGAGTTCCCTCTGGATTCAGCAAATGCCTCTGAAAGAAATCCTGTTTGTAGAAGGGGTGGTTTGCTGGGTTCTACTTTCTATATTTAGGAATCTTGTCTTGAAAACCAAGCCTCCACGGCACCAAGTAGTATATTCTTATAGAGCACCTTATAAAACAAAGGCTTGTAGGCAGTCCTCTGGATGCTGATGAAAGGTTCCATCCTCTCTTGCCAGACTATTTAAAGTGTCCCTCCTTTTTTTACAATTAATCTGAAAAGGTTAATCTGATGCAAAATAAAATCCCTTCCCCCTATGCTTTTGGTCTGCCTGAAAATGGGAGGGGTTGTAATCTGCTGGCATGACTATTCCTCTTTCCAGTTTAAAACAAGATAGACAAAGCATGCAGAGCATGCATTCTCAAATTCTTTCCAATTCCTTAATAGAAGGTCATTTTCAAATGACAATGTGAGCGAGGTTTAAAATGGAGGAGCGTGATTATTACTATTGTAGGGTATACTGAGGACCTTTTTCCTCCATAAAACTGAATTGGATCCAGCCCATTTTGAGCTTTATTTCTTTCACTCTCCCCCAATTCAGCCCTATTCTGTTCAAACTTTGGGGTTATATTATTGTTGGATACATTTCTGAGCCCCTTTACATAAGTTTTTTCCTGATGTACTACTGGTTTTGAAAAAAATTTTAAGAATACAGACAGACCTCAAGGTATGATTACAATAGGACTGGTATTGCCATCAATAAGCAACCTAGTTATACAGTCACATGATAGTATTGCTTAGCGGCAGTAATCCTGGCAGTCTTGGTTACCATCTTAATCCCAGGATGTATAGGTCTTTAAGTGTGAAATGGTAGGAGTCCTAGGTAAAATGCACCAGGAGGTACACAGATGCCATGGGGCATGGTGGTGCCACAGTCAGCCCACTAGAAAAGGTAGCCAGGTAGGGCTGGCAGGGGCATTGGGAAGGTTTTCTGAAGACAGAGTATGAGATATCTGTAGCAAGTTTCTTGGAAGACAAGATGATGGGAGCAAGTTACTGGGGTGATTTGTGATCTTCCCTGCCAGCTTTCCCATTGTTTGTGAGAAGCTCAGCTTGCTGCCACACTGTGATTGTGACCTAAGCACTTAGATCGCAATTATGTAATTATGTAATTATGAGGATGTTGCGATGGCTGGAACTTGAAGGTCCAGTTGTAAATCCATTGTTTCAAAACCTCCATAACTTTGAACCTGTCGTTAAATGAATGGATTTAAGCCAAGGCGTACTTGTAGGTAAATGTAATCTGGCAATGTTGCACAGCATCTGGGATGGGGCATTAAGGGTATGATAATTTGGAAGCATATGGGATTAGAATTTTCAGGAGTGGTTGGGTGGGGGGGAAATGGAGTCTTTTTATTTAGTTTGTTCAACCGAAATGAAGGTTTGCCCATCTTTGGGGATGGGAGAAGTGTAAAAGATAGCACTTTTGTTTCTTTAGTTAAATTAATTGCATTTTCTACAGAAGCAAAATGGGAAAACTTGGTATACAGCTGGTGAATTGTTCACTACTTATATTAATGAATCGTGATTTTTTTTAAAAAGTTAAAATGAAATAACAGAAATTAACATACCTATCCTTAATATAATTATATATCCAGTGAAAACAATTTGCTGGTAACAAGAACTTGGGAGAAATTTAAATTGGTCTTAGAATCACTATAATAGAGTATAAAATCAGAATAACAATATTATATACCACTTTATAGTGTTTTACAACCCTCTAAGCTGTTTACAATCGGCATATTGCCCCCAATAATCTGGGTCCTCATTATGTTAAGTATTCAAACTGCTTCCCATGTTATCTATCTATAATTACAGCCCTCATTAGAGAACTTAATTGGGGATAGTTATACAAAAAGTAGGTGGAATTGATGGTAGATTGGAATTCAAATTGACGCTAGAAACGAACTTCTTGGACTGTGTGGAACAAGACAGGCCATTTTATTTCCAGAAATGAAACAGCTTCAGAATACCCAGATTGCAACGTTTGGTGAGGAAACTGAAACATTTTAGAGATCACTTAACTCAGGGGTGGGAAATTAATTTCTGTCGGGGGCCACATGGAAAATCAGATCTGCGTTCGAGGGCCGAACCAATTTTACAAAAGGCCATTATAAAGGGCCCATTATAAAATGCAGCAAATTATATATAAGAATATTATATGTGTGTGTGTGTGTGTGTGTGTGTGTGTGTGTGTGTGTGTGTGTATGGTTGTTCGGGTTTTCTCCCGCGTAAGATTCGAAGTATCTAGGCAACGTTTCGATGAAGTCTCATTCATCATCTTCAGGCTTCTGTCTCCGGCTCTGTGCTTCTCAGAGTGATGTGAGATTGCAGCTGCTTCTTCCTTTTAACTGCTAGTGGGGGTGGGACTTGATTGGGTGGGGGCTTAGCTGTGTTCTGATTGGGTGGGGGTGTGTTCTCATTGGTAGGGGTTTTGGCTGTGTTCTGATTGGTTGGGGGGTTAGCCGTGTTCTGATTGGTTGGAGGCGTGTTCTGTTCAGGTGGGGGCTTGGTTGTGCTCAGGTTAGTCTTAGTAGCTGGGGGATTTGAGTTGGTGAGCTGTGATCTTGCTGTTTGGCTTCGAGTTCGTGGTCGTGCTGCATCTTCATAGTGGGTGTCGGTTTGCTTCATGTATGGCTCGGAGGGGTTTGAAGTGGGTAGTGATGCAGCTGCAGTGCAGCTTCTGGTCCATGGTCGTGTCTCATCTTCTGAGTGGGTGTGAGCCTGTTTTCTACATGGAAGTGTGGTGGTGGCATCTTGTGTGGCTCTCATGGGTGTGGGTCTGGTGTCCTTCTTCATGTTAGGTACTCGTCTGTTCATGAGGGCGGGTTTCCAAATGGCTGGAAGGCGGGAGATGTCATCTCGTTTGTTCATGCTGTGTGGGCGTTTTTCTATCTCTATGGCTTCTCTGATTATTCTGCTGTTGAAGTGTTCGGTTTTGGCGATAGTTCTGGTATTTTTAAAATCAATTTCATGTCCTGTGGCTTTGAGGTGTTGGACCAGGGAAGAGGTCGTTTCTTCTTTTTTGATTGAGTTCTTATGTTCTTCAATGCGTGCACTTATTCTTCTGTTAGTTTGTCCAATGTATGTGGTAGGGCAGGCAGTGCAGGGGATTTCGTATACTCCTTGGTTTTCTAATTCGATTTTGTCTTTGGGGTTTCTTAGGATGGTGGATATTTTTCTGTTTGTGCAGAATGCTGTTTTGATGTTGTGTTTTTGGAGGATCTTGCTGATTTTGTCTGTAGTGCCTTTTATATATGGGAGGAGGGCTTTGCCGTTTTCTTGTTCTCTGTCTTGGATTTTGGTTGGGGTTTCTTTTTGGATTAGGTGGGTAATCTTCTTTCTTTGGAATCCATTGGCTGTAAGTACGTTGGTGAGAGTGTGTAGTTCGGTTTTTTGGTGTTGTTCATCGGCTAAGCATTTTGTTCTGGAGATGAGTGTCTTGGCTACGGAATTGATCTGTGCTGGGTGGTGGTGTGAGAGTGCATGTAGATAGCGGTTTGTATGTGTTTTCTTCTGGTAGATGGTGTGTCCTAGGGAGCCATTGGATCTTTTGTATACCAAGACATCTAGGAAGGGAAGTTGATTGTTGGCTTCTGTTTCCATGGTGAATTGTATTTTGGGGTGTAGGCTGTTGAGGTGTGTGAGGAAGTTGTTCAGTTTTTCTTTCCCGTGTGGCCAGATTATGAAGGTGTCATCTACGTATCTGAGCCAGAGTTTGGGTTTGTGGTCGTATTTTTCTAGAGCTTGTGTTTCAAAGTGTTCCATGTAGAGGTTTGCGATGACAGGTGAGAGGGGTGATCCCATGGGTGCTCCTTCTATTTGTTTGTATTTTTGTCCATTGTAGGTGAAGTATGTATTGGATAAGCAGTGGTTGGTCAGATCTAGGATGTGCTTGGGGGGGTTGTATTTGTTTTGGATGGCTGTCAAGGCTTCTTTTATTGGCACTTGGGTGAAGAGGGATATGACATCGAAGCTTACTAGTAGGTCGCTAGGTTGTAAGTTTTGTTTCTTTATGATCTCGATGAACTGGAATGAGTTTCTTACGTGTGAGTTGATGGATTCTGCATAGGGTTGTAGTTGTTTGGCGAGAAATTTGGCCAGGTTTTGTAGAGGTGAGCCTATGGAGCTGACTATTGGTCTGAGTGGGGTTCCTTCTTTGTGTATCTTGGGGAGACCATAAAGCTTGGGGCATCTGGATGATTTCTCTCTGGGTATGATTCTTTGCTGGATTTCTTCACTGATGGGGGAGGCTTTTATTTTGGATTTGGTAGTTTTTTCTAGGTAGGTGGTGGGGTCTGTCTTTAGGGGTTTGTATGTGGGGTCTTGGAGTAGGTTGGTTAACTTGGTTTGGTAGTCAGATGTGTTCATAACCACTGTCGCGTTGCCCTTGTCTGCTGGTAGGATTATTATGCTGGTGTCTTCTTTCAGGTTAAGTAGTGCAGTTTGTTCTTCTTTGGATAAGTTGCTTTTGGGTGGTTTGCTAGTGCAGAGGATGTTGGTGATTTCGAGTCTGATTTTGTTAGCATCGTCAGGGTTGGTTTTGGTCAGGCTGGTTTCAACTCCGCATATGATGGTTTCTGTGGGGATGTGTTTGGGAGCGACAGCAAAGTTGAATCCTTTTGAAAGGACCTTGGTTTCAGCTTCAGTGAGGATCTTGTCTGAGATGTTGTGCACTGTTTGTTTCATGTGTGGCTGTGGGGGGGGGGAGGAGTTGGTTTCTGGCGTTGTTGTAGTTTCCTGAGTTTGTTGGTGTGTGTGTCTGTCTTGAGGGTGGTCTGTGTTTCGGCTCTCCAGACAGCGAGTTGTTTGGATTTGTCCCAAAGTAGGGGGTGAATCTTGTTGCTGAGTCTGAGGTGGAGTGTGAGGAGATCTTTGTTGATTTGGTCTAGGAGAAACCTTTTTGTGTGAAGTCTCAACTAAGACTAACCTGAGCACAACCAAGCCCCCACCTGAACAGAACACGCCTCCAACCAATCAGAACACGGCTAACCCCCCAACCAATCAGAACACAGCCAAAACCCCTACCAATGAGAACACACCCCCACCCAATCAGAACACAGCTAAGCCCCCACCCAATCAAGTCCCACCCCCACTAGCAGTTAAAAGGAAGAAGCAGCTGCAATCTCACATCACTCTGAGAAGCACAGAGCCGGAGACAGAAGCCTGAAGATGATGAATGAGACTTCATCGAAACGTTGCCTAGATACTTCGAATCTTACGTGGGAGAAAACCTGAACAACCAAAGATCCACAAACAAATACCCGCGAGAACCTCAGAAAACATATATATATGTGTGTGTGTGTGTGTGTGTGTATGTATGTATATGTATGTATATGTATATGTATATGTATATTCTTATATATAATTTGCTGCATTTTATAATGGGCCCTTTATAATATAGATATATATATTATATATATAATGTATATATATATATTATATAAAGAGAAAAAATAACACAGCGGCTGCTCCTACTACTACTTTCCACGCTTTCCAAACACGAGTCCCAGGAGACAAGAAACAGCAAACCCGCGCTCAGGGGCATCCAAGCCCACCTAAAGCTAGGCCGCTGCTGGTGGAGCCTTGCCCTGCCTTGGTGCCCCATTTCCCGGCTCGGTCCTGCTCAGGCGGCACTTTAAAAGCCCTCCTCGCGTACGCGTCCGACGAGCTGCTCACCACGACAGCGGCTCCTAGCACCTGAGCAACTTCCCAGCAACTTGCGGCGTCCTTTTTCCTCGCAGGCGCTTGCACCTAGCCCCGAGCCGCGCGGCAGAGGGGAAGCCCGGAGCGCTGCCGGGTCGCCTCCTCCAAGCAGCCCACCCGCCCGCCGGGCGGAACCCTTCCCACTCCTCAGCGGGAAGACGCTCCCACCTGCAAACTTCCGCCGGGCGGAACCCTTCCCACTCCTCAGCGGGAAGACGCTCCCACCTGCAAACTTTGTCTGTGCAAAGTTTAAGCCTGGAAGCCCCGGAAACCCGAGCAACTTCCCGGCAACTTTCGGCTTCCTTTCAACTCGCAGGTGCTCGCGCCTGGCCCCAAGCCGCACGGCAGAGGGGAAACCCGGAGCGCCGCCGGGTCGCCTCCTCCAGCCCGCCCACCCGCCAGGCTTCCCCTCTGCCGCGCGGCTCGGGGCCAGGCGTGAGTGCCTGTGAGGAAAAAGGAAGCCGCAAGTTGCTGGGAAGTTGCTCGGGGCTTCCAGGCTTAAACTTTGCACAGGCAAAGTTTGCAGGCAGGAGTGTCTTCCTGCCGAGGAGCGGGAAGGGTTCTGCCCGGAGGGCGGGTGGGCTGCTTGGAGGAGGCGACCCGGCAGCACTCCGGGCTTCCCCTCCGCTGCACGGCTCGGGGCCAGGCACAAGCACCTGCGAGTTGAAAGGAAGCCGAAAGTTGCCGGGAAGTTGCTCGGGTTTCCGGGGCTTCCAGGCTTGAACTTTGCACAGGCAAAGTTTGCAGGCGGGAGCGTCTTCCCGCTGAGGAGTCCCTTCCCACTTCCCTTCCCTTCTGCCTGGAGGGCGGGCGGGCTGCTTGGAGGAGGCGACCCGACGGCGCTCCGGGTTTCCCCTCCGCTGCGCGGCTCGGGGCCAGGCGCGAGCACCTGCAAGGAAAAAGGACGCCGCAAGTTGCTGGGAGCCGCCGTCGTGGTGAGCGGCTCGTCGGGCACATACGCGAGGAGGGGGGCTTTTAAAGTGCCGCCTGAGCAGGACCGCCGAGCCGGGAAACGGGGCACCAAGGCAGGGCAAGGCTCCACCAGCAGCGGCCTAGCATTAGGTGGCTCCAAGCAGCCCACTCCAAGCAGCCCACCCGCCCGCTGGGCGGAACCCTTCCCGCTTCTCGGCGGGAAGACGCTCCCGCCTGCAAATTTTGCCTTTGCAAAGTTTAAGCCTGGAAGCCCCGGAAAAAAAAGGGGGATCGGCGGGGACTCACCTTCGGAGAGGTCGCACTCGAAGGTGATTTCGAACTCCCAGCCGAGGCCTTTGCAAAGTTCTTCTTTCCTACCCCGAGAGCGCTCTGCACTGTTTTGCAGCTTTGGGGGCCACGCGGTGCAGGGCAATACGCCACGCCCACTGATTTTTTTTCAGGGGCGGGCCGGATTTGACAGACCAACGGGCCTGATGCGGCCTGCGGGCCGTAGTTTGCCCACCTCTGGCTTAACTATTCTATGCCTAGGATGCCATGTTTTGCACATTGCTATGCAGTAATTGAATGACTTTGGACTAATGGTACATTTCTGAATGTTTGGAATGATTTGCAGTGTGCAAAATGACATTCAGAAGTATTCTGAATAAGAAAGTTATGAGGCAATGAAAGCCACTTATTGAGGACTGTGGAAAATAATGGGAATTGGAGAACACTTAAGTGTGGTGGAAATGCCTACATTCATTATAATTTATTCCAGTGGAGTTTATTGAAGACCCAGCAGAAAATAAAAGAAGTCCCTCCTGATTTAGCCATTCTTAAGATTCTTTTCCGTCAGATGCCATAAGTTACTGTTGAAATTATATTTTTCAGATGATTCATAAAGCCGTTATATTTTTAAGAGTAAGGCACTTAATTTGTTTTGTTTCAGCTGCATGGAGTTTGTTTTAGCAACTCTTATGAAAGGATCTCCTGAAGTTCCTTTTAATACAGAACTTGTGATAATTGACTATCTTTGGGGGGAGTGAGTCTTGAAGAAAATGACTGGTTTTTTTTTCCTCTCAAGGAGTCACTGGATTACTGTAGAAAGTCTTGCCTGACCTAGAAGGCAAAGACTAATCCTTCATTCATTGTTTGTGGGATGTGTTGCCTGACAGCCCTGTTTTGTTTTCCACAGCTGAGGTACTCAGTGAAGAACCCATCTTGAAATGGTATAAAGATGCACACCTTGCCAAAGGAAAGAGTGTCTTTCTGGAACAAATGAAAAAGTTCGTAGAATGGCTCAAAAATGCAGAGGAAGGCAAGTAGTCCTACACTTATTAAACTATTAATTATTAGATATCCTAAATATTGTACTCAAGCTGAAATTGTTTGTTTGTCTTTCAGAATCGGAGTCTGAAACTGAAGAAGGTGACTAAATTGTCAAAATGTCAACAGTAAAGCAAACAGGAGCTGTAGATAAAGTGTCATGTTTTGTGTCCTTTTGATTCTTACATCCTACCTCCCTTTATCAAGCATGATATAAGGGCTCTCATAGCAAATTTGTTTGCGTTTTCTAGGGTCCTTAGAAAACACTGAAATTAGGTTTTTAAAACCATGTGTTAGCAGCTTACAGGAGCTCTAGATTCGATTCTTCTAACATTGCATTAATCCTTTTAGTTACATTCTACCTCCTGTATTTTCTACTGTAACATAATTTAAGGCCTTCCACAATTTAAATTCATTTTATCCCTGGGTTTTCTATAAAGGTTTACAGTAGACATGGAAAATTAAATTTGTTACAAAATTCTGTTTGCAGATTAAACTGTACAAGTATCCAAAATCTACAAACCATATTTGTTTGATTTTGTTTGGAAGACAACTAGACTAAGAATGGATTCTCCTACACCACTGCCTTCTTTCCTTTCAGCTTCTTGGTTTTGATACTCTTGCACTTTTTAGACGGCCCTTAAAGTGTCTTTTTACAGATTATTTTTTCTCAGTGGAATAACAATATTTCTTGTTCTTAATGAGAACACAAATAATTTGAGATTAAATCTTGCAATTGAGTACTATGCAGAAATGATCTGCAAGGGGCCATGCACAAAACTGAAAATACTCATTCCATTGGCGTTAAATTTGAAACGGCTGAAAAATGCTATTGATAATTTTTAATTCTTTAATTATGCAGAAAACTGCACTCATAATAAAAATCTTTCAACTCCCCATCATGATTATTGTTGAGAATTGTATTTGCCAATGTATAACAAAGTGTCTAGGTTAGAGCAGGTTACCGTTGGTCTGTAAAAGGCAGAGTTCTTTCATGTGCATAAAGATTGTTGAAGAGCAACTAATACAGGAACTATTTAAAATTCTTACAGAAAACAATGGAAATAACTTAGTAGGGTAAAATAGGTTGCCAAACTTTTGGACCACAGGGACCACCAAACTCATTTTAAATCCTGTGGACCACTAACGTGAATTTTGACTGATGTGGCTGGCTGACGGTGGGAAGGACAGGTAGAGATCTGGCCTAGGAGGGCTGGTGATGTTCTGTCTCACATACACACACCCTCCAAGGAGCCACATTCCTAGCCTGCTTTTGAGCTCCGTTTGGGTGGGGGAGAGAGGGGAAATTTCTCTCTCACACACACACATCCCCACCCTCTTCCAAGGTAGCCATGTTCCTAGCCTGCTTTTGAGTTCCATTCTCAGGCTTCATGCAAGGAAAGCAACAGACTTACTTTCCCTCCCCCCAAATGAGCCTTCGCGGGTGCAGCCTCTTGGAGCAGGATGCCTTGCAGGGTCCCAGTCTCATTTCTGGCGGTGTGGGAGAGAGAAAGACTTCTGCTGCTTTCCTTGCATGCAGCCGGAAGCAGCAACCCGGTGGCCAGGCAAGTTCCCCCCTCACTACCTCGTGTTGCGGGCCATGTGGGCAGTGCAGCCTTGTTCCCCTGCAGCCTGGATTAATTGCTTTTGGGGGGGTTGTCTGGGGGTGAACTTTTCTCTGCAGACCACCAAAATTTTCTCACAGCCCACCGGGATAAAGTATTCTGAGCAACATTCAGTATCTCAAAAATGAACATTTCAAACTCAATCATTCTTGAGTTTAGGATATGTAATAAATCCCTGCTAGAAGCATAAATGAAAGAATACTTTGTAGATGTAGCACACCTGTTCTGCATTTTTAGTTTTCTTAAAACTCCATTCTCTTCTAATTTCAGAACAGACAAGTTAGCATAGAGTATGGTACATGAGTCAGTGCAGCTAAGGCTTTCAAAAAGAACTAACCAAGCCTATTCATGCAATCATTGCATATAAAGTATCGGGAACAAGCTTACTGAAATCTAATTAAACTGAACAAACCATACATAGATTTGCTACTGAGATGGGAAGGTCCTTATAGTTCATATTTCTTTCCTAGCTCCAAAAGAAAATTCAGAGTGAAACTTTAATCACCCATGTAACCACAGCTCACATGCAATATTAAGAAAACAACTGAACACTAAGTGTTGCTAAATGTTTTATTTTGAGCTATTTTAACAGACTAAGCAGGACAATATCAAAAAATAAATTTACAGAATTACAAAATAAATATGTAAAACATTTTAAATATGCGAAACATCTTTTCAATGGCAGAATTTTAAAAAATCTCATTTCATCTTCTTAATGGAAAAAAGAAAGGATGTGCCAAAGCTTCATTAAGTGTGATTCGTCTGGCAGGGTCATACTCCAACATTTTCTGAATAAGATCAAATAGATTCTCATGATCAGAATTGTGACACTGCATGAATTCCTGTGGGTGGGGGAAAAAAACTAATTAGCACTTCTGAGAAAATGGAGTAGAGGAAGCTTAGTCAAGCAGCAGATTATCTAACCTTCAGTGGCTTGCAACGCCTTGAAACATATCTGCCAGCAGAACTTAATTCATCCCAGTCCAAACCATCATGCCGGAAGTATTTGCGTTTTCTGTTATAAATGAAGTTAAGAATGAAATTATTTAAAGGCAGCTTTAGCAATGACAAATCTAGTGTAACACCTTCCTTGTAACTGCTTCAGCATAACTCGGATCATAAACCAAATATTTTTATTTTTTTAAAGGTTATTTGCACATTTCCTACCTTTATTCACATTTGTATCAGATAGCGCGCACCATTCAAAAACTGCTTCAAAAGCATGTTAGTGCAAGTGAAGCATCTATTCTAAAAGCATCTTTTGAAAGGCTTCACTGGTTGTTTCAAAGGCTGTCCTCTTGTTATTTTGTATGGACAATGTTTTCCCCAGCAATTCCAATACAATGAATATACAAACACAAACCTCTTGAATGCTTTGCACAATACCACTAGTCACATGAAAAAGACAAATTTAATTTTCCTCTGAAATTAACACAATAGTACACCATCCCATTAGTTATCACAATAAAAGTGTACTTTTATTTCATCATAAAAAATTAAAGGCAGAATAGTATCTTACAGATAAGAACCAGCACCAACACATGATCAAAGAAAAGAAACAGCTCCGAAGTATACTATTATAATTAGGACCACAATATGAGACATTCTGCCACATAATGTCTATATGATAAAATGCAAATAATGAGCACTGTACCTAACTCATTTTAAACAGTTCTAAATTTTACAATGTATTCCTAGAGTCATACAATTTACCTCAAGGTATCTACTAAAGAGAACCTATGCCAGGTTTAAAATACCTTTATTGCTTCAGATTACTAGTTTTTTTTAAAAAATGTAAGCTAATCATTAAGGAGAAGCATATAGAACACTGGTGGTACTCAGCAGAAGGAAAATATTGAGGGGAAAAAACATTTCTTTACCTTGTTTTTTGAACCATATGAGTTGGTAATGGTCCTAGTATCTTCTCCATCATAGCCAGATGTTCTTTGCTATCATGTGTCTTTAAAAAAACCACAAAAAACAAACCTTGAAAATTTTAGAAAACCGAAACATACAGTGAATACAAAACAATGTACTGCAAAGTATGTTTGAAAGGGACAGGGAAAAGTTTTTTTGCAAAAACAACTAAAATTATGTTTTTAATACTCTTATTGAAGTGTTCTATAGGCAATGTATTTCACATGACAGCATTTCAAAAGAAATGTAGCATCTGAAGCGCATGATGGAATTGATAATTTGTCTTCTAGACAAATCCAGGTTTTGATATGACACCTTGGGTTCCCATAGTTTGAAATTTGCTTTTATCTATGCTGAAATTACACATTTCCCGTTGACTTCAATTCTTATTTTACTTTGAATTATTAATCACAATACTTTAGAAGTGTAAAAAAACCCTTTCTAATAATTGTCACTACCTCTATAACATATGCCTCTGTAGTCACGTACCGGAAATATTGTAAATCCAAGGTAATATTCAATAAGAATACAGCCAATACTCCAAACATCACATGGTTGTGACCATCCCAAAGCTGTGGCAAAAATATATAAAATGAATTGTACAGACTATAAATACTATAAAGACTTTCAAACTATAAATACTTCTGATATTAATGAATTAAGGGCATTCTTGAGATGTGGAAAGTTTCTGAAAAAAATTGAGGCAGCAACTGCTTTAGCTGTTGGTTTTGGCTGAAAACACAATATACACAGGTGACTAATTTTTTTTGTCATTCCCCTCTGCTCAGAGTTCCCAGCATAGAAGGCAACATTGCCCTCCTACCCCCAACCATCATAGCCTTTCCCTCCTTCCAGCTACTGCTATCCCAGAGCAGCAAATGTCATAGGGCTGCATTCTCCAATCCCTCTTGACTAATCCATACAAATCTATAGTATATAGAATACACACACACACACACACACACACCTTTCATTGCTCTCCCACAATGTAGTATATATTTATAACCTATATAGTATATCCTTCACATGTTCAACCCTCAACTACTGCTGTATCAAGACGGGTTTTGACTGGTTTTTCATTCCATGAACTGACCATAGTGTATTTATTTGGTCATGGATTCCTCCATCTCAAGCAACTTGAGGGACTTTAGCAAGTAGAGTATATTCTAAACTATTTAAAGTTTGCAACATACATAACACGTTATGTACACTGCAATTGTTTGTACTAATATATGCATATTATCTCACCTAATATGACTTCAGGAGCTCTGTAATGCCTTGTAGATACAAGTGTACTATGATGTTCATAATCATATGTTGCACTTCCAAAATCTACAACTTTGATCTCTGGATGTTTCAATGTGCGTTCACCATGTTTCTGAAATGTAGCATAGGATTATTAGGCATAAGTAGTAAGAATTAGTTATGAAAGCAATTATTAAATATTAAATGATAAAATTTACCAGTTTAGGGTTATATTCTTCTGTATAATCAGAATTCACAAATAATATGTTTTCAGGCTTCAAATCTGTATGGGTCAGCTTGTTTGAATGCAAAACTGTAAAGAATCCAAATTGTAAAACAGTTGTGTTTTAGCTTAAGACCTCTTTAAATATCAGTGTTTACAGCCTAAAACTATTTTAATTAAAGAATATTTTCCATTTATTCACCTTGAAATTGCTAAAGAGAGAGCTTAATATGTACTTACAATTTACAGATTTGCAAATCTGATGAGCTATTTTTCTGATATGGTCCAGACAGAAAGGCAGAAAACGATTTTCTTTAAGGAAGTCATAGGTACTGAGTCCTAGCAGTTCAAATACAATGCAAATATGGCCATGATGATCAAACCACTCCAACATCTTGACACAGTGACTGTAAATGCAGTAAGGTTACTCAGAAGGCATCATTAAATAAGAACATGAAATTAACTGAGCAATTTATAAGTACAATTGAAAGTAAATTGTTGATT